GGTTTCATCATCTCCTGGTGATATGGGCTCCTCTGGGCTTTAACTTTACACCGCTCCTTCTGCAGGATTGGGCTGCACAGAAAATTCCCCTCTGAACCACAGGGCAAGGAGCTGGGTGGCACGGGGAGGCGATGGGGGGAGCTGGGGCAGGAAGGGGGGGGATGCTTTCGCGTCATGCAAGATAAAAGCAGGGCAGAAACTTTTAATCACAGCTGCCATCTGTTCCCATGCATGCCCCCATATTAGAGCATCCTCCAAGCTCAGCACTCCGCATGTGCACTGGGAAGGGGTGGATGGACATGGTCATCCCCAGAGGAGCTCCTTGGCGTTGGAGCTGGACGCTGGCCGTCCTGTTTCCTTGCAGGTCAGACTGCAAACGATGGAGCTGAGCAGGTGTTTGCAAAAGGAGAGGGTTTCTGGCCAAGAGGCGTGTCGGGGTGTGGGGGCTCCTCACCTACGTCATTGCCCGAGGGATGACTTTGGAATTGGAGCCCTCCTGGCATTTTCGCCCAGGGCGCTGTCTGCTGATTACGCCCCAAATATCTCGATAGCTTTCTGTGGGGACTGTTTGCTCTGCCTCGCTGCGGCAACATTGCCTGCTCTTGCATCTGCCGCCAGCTCCCCGCAGCACGGAACACTGACGTGCAAGTGCAAACGAAGCCAGGGGCAGGCCCTCTGCACCCTGCAGCATGGCGAGGTGGGGTGCCCTTGCGCTGGCTGGGAGCAAACGGGCGCGCCCTGACATATTGGGTGGCTAATCTTTAAGAGCAGGCAGGCTGGCTTTTTGCTGCTACCACGAGCTGTGGAGGGCATGAGCTGAACGCTTTTTGGTGGCTTATGAGCACTGAGTGATTGCTCTTGGTGGAAAGAGGTGGTTTTCTAGGTGGCAAATGAGTGGTTTTGCCGTGCTTGCATGTGTGCAACACGTGAGGCTGCTGGCATCTGTTGGCTGGGCAAAGCTTCCAGCCCTGGATATGTATTTTCCAGACAAAAATAGGGAGTAGAAGGGAAAAAGGAGCAGGAGAGGAGTTGCAAAGAGCCTGATCGCTGTGGGTGACCAGGAGCCAGGGACTGCATCCCAGCAGGATGCTCTGGTCCCCTCTCACAGGCTGAGCAGCGCTGGTCCAGCACAGGTCAGGGATGCAGGAGGGATGAACTGGGGAGTCTCTGATGCTACAGCTCCACCTCTCCCTTACAAATTCTGCTGTCCCAGCACAGGACAGCCACTGAAGTTCGTACCCCTTAGACCCCAGGGCCAAGAAAGCTCCACGGGGATCCTTCCAACCTGAGGTGGGTCATCCCAGTCCTGGGGGCACCCAACAGTGCTCCTGTACCACCCTCCTGGGGACAGGTCGTGGGAACAAGCAGAAGCTCTGGAGGATCAGCAAACCTCCCTGCCTGCCAGATCTCTAATGGGGAGCTGAGCAGGCATCTGAGCTTGTCAGCCAGCCAGCTCGGGATGTGTGGTGTTACTTGGGATGTGTTTGTGTAACCTGTCTTTGCCTTCCTTGGAAGTGTTCAGAGCATCAATGCCGCCCCAGCATAGCTCTTTGCCAGAGGGCAGAGATCTAAGCTATGGTGCAAAATAGCCTCCATAAATGTGGTTCTAGGCACAAAGAGAAAAGGCTTAATATGCTGTAAACCACCCCCAAAAGGTGCAAATGGTCTTCACCTGCTCAGTCCCACCCATCCCTCCTGACCCCCACAGAGCCTTAGATTTGGCTGCCTGAAGGACCGCGCACTGCCTGTGCCTTTGGAAGCACAGCCCTACTCCTTCCTCAGCCTTATCTCAGCGCACTGAGAATGCAAACAGTGGAGCTGGTGGAGAACAAGCCATGAGGCTGCTCCAAGCCCTGGCAAGGCAGAAGATAGTGGAGAGGCAGCGCAGCTCCTCTGGCCCGGGCAAAGGGCTCTCTACTGGCTGTGGGTACCCTCCAGTGTGGTTCATCTTGGGTTTGCTTCCCAACAGACTGCATGCTTTGTCTGCTTTTTGCAGCCAAGAGGTGAGTTTTGCTTCTTTATCTCCATAAAACACGTCAGGTTGCAGAATCAGAAAGCAGGTGAGAAGCGGGGCGGTAAGAAGCCCCTTTGGTGGCTTGCGTTGCTGGAGGTTGGGAAGGCGGCATTAATTACAGCCTGCAACGAATATGATAGATTCTTCCCCAGGTTTTCCATTTGAAAGAGGTTTCCAAATGTGCCTGGTGTTAAATCTGGAAGGAAGCTGGCTTTGAAGTGCACGCACGTGCACTAACTTGATTGTAGCTGTAATTTGCTGGAGTGGGTTCTGTACAGACATGAAAGTGAGCCTGCGTAGGTTCAAGCCATGCTGCATGTGTTACAACTGGGGACTGCCTTGGGGTTATTCCCCGCCAGGAAAAATACGGACAGTCGCCCGGTGGGATGGGTGCAGACCCAAATGCAAAACCCTCTCGTTCTCAGAGGAAAGCTGCCGTTTTGGGGGTAGGCAAGAGGATGGGAGTGTCTCTTTTTGAAGCTGGAGGAATGCCTAGGAGCCATGGGGATGAGGATTCGGTGGTGGCGGGGTTTGGCAGTATAAACTGGAATTCGTATTGCAAGTGACTTGCCTCAGAGAGTCTAAAACTCAAATGCAATCTGAACTAAAGGGCTGCGCAAACTGAAAGCTGCAGGCGCTCTTATTTCTTTTTTATTTGAAAAGAAATAAAAATCTTTTTGGCAAAATGAGGAGAAGACTTAGTCCCTGTGCAAGCTGAGCTCGTGCCCCAAGTCCCTGTGGGGCCAGTCATGCCCCACAGGTTGCCCTGGGAGGGGACCCCTCTGGCCAAGCTGCCACTGCAGAGACCCCGGCGTTTGCCACAGGGTCAAGGCTGGGATGTGCAGGGGGGGTCGCGTGGCTGCGAGCACCCCGGCGGGTGGATTTACTCACTCCCTTTCGGTGGCACTTACTGAAAAATCCCGCTGCCCCTTCCTGCCACACGTGTCTTGCGGACACCTCGGAGGAATTATCACACGTTCGTAGTAATCTCCCTTGTAGTCTCCCACCCGTTTTCATCCTGCACTTCAAGTCCTGAAATTGCCCTGAGAAAAGAAATATCTTTACAAGATGGGCCATCAAGCCGGCACACCGTCTGCTGCATCCAGAAAAGCAACCCACTCAGCAGGGTAATCTATTCAATGGCTGGGATTTATTTTTAACATTCAGTTCTGCAGTCCTTTTAACTTGAGCAGGGAAGTGAACATTTTGATAACAGCAGCCTCCAGGTCAAATGTGATGAGAATTCATAACTCGCCACATTGGGGTTTTGGAAAACCAACCAAGCAAAACAATTTCCCGGAATGAGACGATGAAGATTCTCGTTTCTCCTCACAATGTCGCGGACGGGGCCGGTATCTGTTAGAATGTCTGCTTATTCTCTCCCCACAATTTGCAAATAAAATGCCTCCCGGGCTATTTTAAATTTGAACGGCTATTGCAAGCACGGCTTTGCTAGGCTGCTCGTAAAGACCTGAGACATCGGATCTCTAGGCCATCAAAGAAGAAATATTAATCCAGTAATGGGAATGTCCTGATGGTCCCATTTCTAATCAAAGCAAAGCCTGGGTTTTCCACTTCAAGCAAACGCTGCCAAAAGAGTGGCATCAAGATTTAAAAATCACGAAGAACAGAGGGAGGGAGCGCCAGGCCCTGGACTGCACAGGAGCAGCACAGAAACAGTGGCAGGAATAGTTGAGGTTGGAGCTGGGACTGGGAAAATAAAATAAAATAAGCCTGACAATCTGGCCAAGCTGAGATTGGTGAGGGAGCTGCTAGGAGGCAACTTTTTTTGGCTTTGTCCTATTTTCAAATGGCCGGAGTAAGTCAGAGGCGTGGGCCTGAGGAAGGCAGGAGATGAATGTGGGAGGAAATTTTGTAGTTCAAGTAACGTGGTTTATTTTAATCTCACTTCTGCCGCTGCTTCCCGAGCCCTCCCACAGTTCTTGCTGCACCTGGAAGGTGAGGGGGCTGTCATGCTCGGCCGCGTCGGCTGCTTTATCTGCAGGCTTGGGAACAAGCCGTTTCCAAATGGCTTGTATTTGCTCTCCCCTTCCCTGTCTTCCATCCAAATCTGATATCCGCAGGGAGGCCCTGCGTGTGGGGTGCTGTCCCTCGCAGCAGGAGGTCCTCTGCGGAGTGCAGGGGCAATGAAAATGGGAAAACGAAGGGGAAGATGATGATGATGATTATAATAATAATAATAAAGCATTCCCTCCTCTGCAGGCTGCAAATGTGCTGGCTTTGTCCAGCAGATCATCCCCACAGCCACGTTGCTGCTGCCATTGTCACCCACTTCACTCCTGGCATCTTCTCCCATGCTGTCAGGGGAACCCGGGGGGGGGGGGGGAAGGAGAAACTCCGCGCAGTGGCAGTGAAAACCAACAAAATTCGCTGTTGTATGGCATGGAAAGCTGTACTGATGGGAACAGCCATTGCTTTAATACTTAATTCGATGAGCTCTAGCTCTGAGAAATGGATCGGGAGCTGCCACAGCTTCAAGTGTGTGCTCAGCGCTTGCGGGGGAATTTCTATGGGGTTTGCTACGCTGCAGACTTATCTATATTCTGGTTGGGTGACGTGGTAATGTGTCTCATTAATTAACGAGGCACACAGAGCCTCCCATTCCCTTTAACTAATCAGGCTTTAAACACTTGCAGGGGTTGCTCGGACATTGGGTTGTCACTCAGAGCGTCTCCCCTCTGTTGGACCCTTGTGGTTGGGCCCTCCGTTGGCTCGTGGTCTCTGCAGAGCCAACGTGGGCTGCTCAGGTGCAACCCGGTGGCATTTCAGGAGGGAAGTTTCTTGTGCCACGAGCCTGTTAAACAGTGCAGTGCAGCTAAGATTCAACCCTGCCTCTCACTGGCAGGAACTCCCCAGTGCTGTGTGGGTTCATGTTGTGGCGAGATCAGGAATTAGGAGCTGGGCTGGGCTGATGTAGGCATGAGATGGGTCTCATCTAAAACCTGTCCCTATTTTGTCCTTTTAGGTCAGTCCCATTGGCCCCAAACCATTTCTGGGACTGAGATTCAGCCCACAGCAGAGCCAGCTCTCCTCTGTGCATCGGTCTCCAGCCTTCAGAAATCCCTTTGCATGCTCCAAACAGTTTGGGTGTCTTCACCACGGAGCTGGGCTTTAAGGGAGCCTGATTGCCACTGCGATGGTAAACAAAGAAGCTGGAAATGTGGATTTGTCAGAACTATAATCCAGGTAGTTCCTAGTTCTTCACTTGCACAAACCCATCCATTTTCTGTCCTTATATCTATCTGTCTCTGGTCCTTCTGCAGCCCCCATCCTTGCAGGACCTGAGTCCCTCGCAGCCTTTGGGTCTGAAGTGTGAGCAGAAAGGGCGAATTGGGAAAAAGATGTTGGTGCCTACATATTAATGGTTTAGCTTTGGCTGACACATCCCAAACTGTAATCATGACCTTCCCCTCACTGGCACTCACAGCCCCCTCAGCCACCTAATTCCACTGGCACATCAGGGTTTGCTCCTTAAATCCCCTGGACGCCTCCTGCTTGGGGACAAGGACGTGTTGGCATGATGCCACAGTGCTTGGGAATAGTTTGCTACACCAGCCTGCCCAAGGGATGGGCATGGGGGTCCTTGCCCTGGCACGGGGCAAGGTGATCCTTCTCGCCTTGCTCTCCCCATGCTCTCCCTTCGTCTTTTCCTCTCTGCAACCCAATGACTGCGTAGCTGTGCCGTGAGACACGGCCGCATGTCCCTTCTCCAAGACCTCCCCTAGTCCCCCATGCCTGGCTGGGGATGAGGAGGTGGGACCCCAGCACTTCAGCCCCCCAGGGGAGAGCCCTTCGCACTGTGAGACATCTCACTAGGCTTGGCACGGGCTTCACCAAATTGCCTTTGTGCTATGGGGTGAAGGCACAGGCTTCACCAAATTGCCTTTGTGCTATGGGGTGAAGGCACGGGCTTCACCAAATTGCCTTTGTGCTATGGGGTGAAGGCACAGGCTTCACCAAATTGCCTTCGTGCTATGGGGTGAAGGCACGGGCTTCACCAAACTGCCTTTGCGCTAGGCTGTCCAAAGGCATGTCCTACCATTTCCCAGTCCCACTAAGTAATAACACGGGCATACGTTTTTGCTGTTCCTTGTCTCTCCTTAGCATCCATGTCCGAGGCATGACCCCAAAGGCCCTGGGAAAGCAAGAATGTTGAAGAAAATCCATATATGTCTCTGCTTCTTCTTTGTCTCTGGCATTTTGTATGAGATCTCCCTGCTGTCTGGCTGCTGCTTCTCCTATATGCCCATGTCCAAGCACTTCCTGACACCTGAGCAGGTCTTGAACCTCGGCAAAAGCATCATCTTTCTGGAGACAACAGAGCGCCTGGAGCCAACCCCACTGGTGTCCTGCTCCGTGGAGTCTGCCGCCAGGATTTACCAGGACCGGCCCATCATCCTCTTAATGAAGGGACTTAGGAATGATACGGTGTTGGACTTGAACTCCAGCTATACAGCCTTCTCGCTTTTGTCTTCTATGAAGAATGTCTTCATTTTTCCTCTCCAGATGGAAACTGTCTTCCAGGAGACCCCTCTGCTCAAGTGGTACAACCAGGTGAGCCTTATAAGAAGGGGAAAATAGGGAAAGGGGAAAATAGTTATGAATAATGAGGGAAAAAGCTTTGAAGTAGGCTTAAAATGAATAAACACAGGATTTGCTATGTGAAATTAGTCACTTTTATTTTTTTGGTTCAGAATAGACTCATTTTTGCCATGTTTTGCAGTGTATTCATCTATCTGTTTATTGAACATATTATCAGCATTTCCCACCCCCTAGCTGGAGAATCAGATTTTTTGGCAAACACAACATTGGTAAAAATAGATTGCATACATGTTTTGATAAAACATGGCTTAATAATCTTTCTCACAGAAGCTGGTTGAACAAAATGTGCCACTTGAGTCGTCTGGGCGCTTGCTAATGCTGACACACACTGACAGGGCCCGCAGTAGATAAAATGCAAGAGGGATGTCAGGGTTTTTTTAATAGCAATATGCAAAACCAAGGTGGGATCTTGCGAGCTCCACCCTGGAAAGAAGTTCCTGGCAAACCACCTGCAAGTTGCTTTTGTCAAATTTGTTTGATTCCATCTTGGTGCATATTTCCTCCAAACTCTTCCTTCTGAGAAAAAGAATTACTGCAAATACTGACAGTGCCAATGAAAACCCCCCAGCCTGTTTCAAAGAGCTGGGAGTGATCGGGGAGTGTGTTAGGGGAGTTGGGTCCCACTGAAACAGCAGGCAATGATTCATGGTATCATTGATTTAATGTAGTAGGTTCCATCCAAACACCCGTGAAATGTTCCTGCATTCATTTGTATTAGCTAACCATTGCTCTGCACTGCCCTCTTATCTTATTCCAATAAAATTCAGTAGCTGGAGGAAGAAAAGGCGGTCGGTGACATTTGCAGGCGTGCAGGTGCGGTTTTATGGTGCCATTTGCGTCCAGTGGATGGATGTGGTTCGTTCTCTGCCTGCGGCATCACTGTCTCGCCTTTCCAACTCTGCAGGTAGTCCCAGAGCAGGAGAAGAACTGGGTTCACGTCAGCTCCGACGCCAGCAGACTAGCGCTCATTTGGAAGTACGGGGGCATCTACATGGACACAGATGTCATCTCCATCAGGCCCATCCCCGAGGAAAGCTTCCTAGCAGCGCAGAAGTCGCAGTTCTCCAGCAACGGGATATTTGGCTTTCCTGCCTACCAGAAATTTATTTGGGACTGCATGGAGAACTTTGTTCTCAAGTACAATGGGAACATCTGGGGCAACCAGGGGCCCTTTTTAATGACAAGGATGCTCAAAGCCATCTGCAATCTCACGGATTTCAAAGGCACTGAGGACCACAGCTGCCAGAACATCTCCTTCCTCAATCCCCAGCGTTTCTACCCCATACCGTACCCAGCCTGGGGCCGGTACTATGAGGTGTGGGACAAAAGCCCCAATTTCAACCACTCCTACGGGCTGCACTTGTGGAACTTCATGAACCACAACCGGAAAACTGTGGTTGCAGGCAGCAACACGCTGGCTGAAAAACTATACAAAGCCTACTGCCCCACCACGTACAAGGACCTAATCCAAAACGCACAGCGGCATGATGTGGTGCAAGGAGGAAGGGGGTGATCCCTCCAGCCCTCCCCGTTCTGGGGCCAAAACACAGTCACCACCGGTGTCAGTAGCTGGCTTCACAGGAGAAAGACAGACCTTTCCATAACCACCATACCTAATCCCTTGGGCCACTAAGGACCATCTGCAGAATGGTGGTGGGTATCCATCGGACGTAGCCTCCAGCGACACTAAAGACATCTTTGCCTCAGTTCTGTTTCCTTATAGGCGCTCACGAACCAAACCTTCCTGAATCAAACAGACTGACAGGCCTTACCAGTCAGCTTTCCAAGTGAAAAGTTCCTAAAGATATGCATGGCCTCCTGGGAGGAATTTAATCTCTGCACCTCTTGCCACTATTGGCAGCTGTCCATGTCAGAAAAACTGTAAACACTACATGCTTGGGCTGAAGCTTCTGAGGTGACTGTAAGGAAATGTAAAGCAGAGGATGGATGGCAGGAATTTCTAATGAAGAGAAGCCCAAACCACTGTTCTTCATTAATCTATTTTTCTCACATGTGCTTTACACCCTACGTTTTTGAGAGGGACCTTGACAGTGCAAGTGGAAATAAAACAGTTAATAAAACACCACTCCTTCTGAGCTTGCTTTCCCCTACATGCCCCTGGAAAATGAGTCCCATTTTTCAAATGTTTGTGCTCCTGCACTTTTATGTTGGCTCTTTCCAGGAAGGGGCTGTGCTGCCCCAGCCCCTGAGGTCAGTTCTGCCTGTGAAGTCACATCTTCCCCCTGGAAAGGAGATGTTGAGGCACCAAGGAAGGATGGGGATGGTGCTCCAGGGCTCCCAAAGCCCTTTGAAATAATTGGAGTTCAACTACCCTGGAAATGAGCTGCAGCAGCTCTGGTCACCCTTGTCCAGCTGTGCAAAAATCCCCATTTAACCCCAACAGGGCACCCAGTGACTTTCTGCCGGAGGGCAATGCATCCCCTTGGATTTACTTTTTTCCCAGGGTAATGTCAATCCTCCCAACCCCCTGAAAAGCAGCCCAGCTTGCAAATCTCTTCTGAGTCTGTCTGCACAGCTGTCTTTAACTGGGGAGCAGAAAGGCGGGGGTGGATGGGCCGCCCCTCGTCGTGTGTTTGCCATCTGTACAATGCTATCTTCTGCAAACACAGCAGCTAATGAGCCACCCACAGCCTGGTTTCTGCAGCTAGAAATCACAGCAGGGCTGATCGGGAGGAGAAAGCCTGCCGCACACGGGGCTTCTGGGCGCTTCGTGCTGCGATGGGACACCGGGCTCATGTCTCCTTCCAGACCCTTGTCCCCCCTCCCCAATAAATGCCAAAGTCAGTCCAGCTGTATTGGTGCAAGGGCAGGTGGTGCCAAGCCAAGCACTGCGGGTTGTCGGAGTAGATATGAGGCGGAGGGGAATATCTGCCATTCCCTTTCCTAGGGTGACTCTCTCGTGGCTCATGAGTTTCACACCCCCCGCTCCCCTCCCTCCCCCCAGTGCCATCCACACTGGTTTAGTTTTGCTCCCTGCTCTGTTAAAGCGGGGTTTGCCTGCCTGTGGCATGGGGAGCTGCTTGTTCTCCATGGCTATGACTTTCCCGGATGGAGGGGAGGAGTGTAGGGTGACAGCCCAGAAAGTGCTCCCTGTTTCCCCGCAGGGCTTTGGATGGCCCCTGGCTGCTCCCAGCAGCCTCTCGCTGCCCATGTTCGTTCATCGCTCGCTCCCATCCTCGTCCCCCCTCTCCAGTTTCTCTCTCTCTGGCAACAAGTGAGTATTTGCCTTTTTCTGCCCCCAAGGCTTGACTCTCCAGGCTTCCCTCCCTGGGCAATGGAGGGATGGCAGAGACTTGACCTGCTCAAGCTCCCTTTGCAGATGAGCTCAGGTGAGAAACATTTCCGAGGCTCTGCTGTGCTACACAGCATGCATAGGTGAGGTCCGACCCCCTCTCACCTCCCTCTCCTGCCCATTGGTTACTGTCAGGACTTGTGGCAAACCAGGGCTTTTGCAGCAAGCACAGTTGACCTCACCAAAGGTCCTGCATGGGGGCTTTCACCCGCAGTCACCTGAGACGGCTTGGCATGAGCCCTGGGAGATCACATTTTGGGGAGAGGAGAAGCTGAGAAAGGGAGAGAGGCGAGGGCTTCTTTTGGGAAGGGCCCAGAGGAGGTGGGGAAGCTGCCTGCGTAGGTCTGGGTCTCCTGACGCCTCTCTGCTCTGGTAAGGTGTCTCCCACAATTTGCAAGCTCCCGGATCAGCAGGGGAGCAGAGGGGTGCTAGGGGCACCTGGGGCACCCATAGACTTTGCAGGGAGCAAAGAAGCCCCTGAAGCATTCAGGAGGGTGAGGAGAGCCCCAGGGTGGCAGTGGGGAAGGGTGGAGGAGAAGGAAATGGGGAGAAATTTCCCTGCCAAAGGCTGAGGGTTGCAGAGAAGGGGAGTATGCACCAGCCCGGATCAGCAGCCATGAGCTGGGACAGCAAACACACCATCTGCCGGGCTGGGAAATGAAAACCCATCACGTTTTCTGAGGCTCAGTTCTACCAGCACTTCGCTGGAGCTGGCTTTCCCACAGTGGAGTGGAAAGGGTGCAGGTGACCACCTCCAGCCCTAAGCAATGATGGGTGGTACAAGCCGCTACCTCTGTGGTGGACCTGCACCCTCCAGGCCAATGTCTTCATCACCCAGTGGGCAAAATCTCAGTTCTAGTGAGGGAATATCACCGTTTCCCTCGTGAGTGATGATGACAGCTTTTGCCCAACAGCTGCATTGCATCAGCTGACATTGCTTTACATTGCAGCCTGGAAGTCGAAACACTTTGACTGCTTTATACCAGCTGAGGACCTGTCCTGGGCAAATGTGTGTAAGAACTGAAGAGAAGAAATAAATCTTCAGCGCTGGGTTCCCAGGTTGCCTAATGCTGTGGTTTTGCTATACCAGCATCCCACTGACGCCATGGTTGTGCTGTCTGAAACCTCATATATTTATCATTTGGCATGAAATGGAGGTTCCCGCACCCCCAGACGCGCCTGCCGCAGGCGATGGGGCAATGGCAGCCGCGCTGCTAAGCAGCAGGTCAGCATTGCCGGCCGGGTGAGCCACGGCTGGCTTTGGGGCTGGAGCCTTCATTAATATTAACGAGGTTGTGTAACACATCCTGCCTCCTGGGGCATGCGGCAGATCGTTAGGGGGTTTTAATTAGCAGTCCCTGCAAACCTCTCTTCTTTAGGAGTGGTGAATTCATGCAACAAAGCCTTACCTGCAGGGACCACACAGCATTGCCCAACATGTGGCTATGAGCCAGGGCTATATTTACACCTGTATATACATATATGTGTATATATACATGTATGCACGTATATACATGTACACTTTATTCTGCCTGAGAGTTGGGTGGTTTGACATGGCAGCGCCGCTAGTGTGTCCCAGCAATATTGACACTGATGATCTTTGCTGGCCACGCAAGCCTGGAAAGGGGAGGGGCTTGCTCATCTGCTGGGTTTAAGTAGGCACCAAAAAAAAAAAAAAAAAAAAGAGCAAAGCCTAGAGGGAAGCGGTGTTTAACTACGATGCCACACGGATCCGCAGCCGTTCCCATGGGCTTTCGTGCCTGGTCTGTGGCAGCGTGCGGCCTCTTGCTGGGGTAGCTGCACCCTGAATCAGGGCTCCCCTGTCTCCTGCTGTATGGAGGCAGTGGAATAAGAGAGGGAAGGGTGAGAAAGAAGAGAGGGGCAGGGAAAATTAACTTAGAGCTAAAAAGTGGTTACAAGAGCCAAGGTTACAAGGCTGGTTCAGAGCAGTCGTTGACCCTTAGTATTTACATGCAACAGGGAGAGGCCCCTGGGGGAGATGGGACTATGGGCAAAAAGCTACTTAGGTGCCTGATGAGCCGGTTAGTAGGTGAAAAAGAGGAAGAGATGTAGAGGGACTTGCCCAGGGCAGGTTATTAGTAGGGGAGAAGCAGAGCGTCAGGCTCTGAGACCAGGAGGGGACTTTGCAGAGTTTGCAATGGCTCTGAAGGGAGCAAACCAGCCTTGCAAGGACACAAGAAGCACCGTGCAGATGAAGCAACCCTGGCAGCGAAGGTAGCAGAGACCCTGGGGTAGGAGTGGAAAAAATGTCCCATGGGATGGAAAATGCTTGCAGATGAGACTGGCTGCGGTATCAGCCTGAACTGGCCCCACCCTGGGCAACCCTTTGCAACTCCTGCAAAACCCTGTGAGTGCTCCAGCGTCAGAAAAAAGGTGAGAACAGGATCATTCTATCCCAGGGCACACAGAGGCAGCACAAAAAGTGGCTCTGCTAGGCTCTTGGTTGGAAAAGCCTACATGCAGAGGTGGCTTAGCCTGGCAGCCCCTTGCCCAAGCTCTGCCCTGCCCATGCCAGCATCGCCCCGTGTGCCTGGTGGGGCTGAGCCCCAGAGCCTTCTGCTTGCAAACAACACTTTGGGGACTGAAATTACAGCC